CTCTGTATTTGTTCCAGCTCTGATATTTCTCCTGCTTTGAATGGGGCCATCAGCACTGAGCAATATTCTAAATGAGGGAGCACTAGCGATTTGAAGAGTATCACCATCGGCATTATTTCTCGTTTTGAAAGTTCTCAATATCCACCTTGTCATCTTCCAGGCTGTCATGATCTTTGTCTTGTTATGGTCTTTAAAAGAAAGGTCAGCTGACATAATTACAGTGGACCCCTGCCTTACGAGCGCATCGCGTTACGTTAAATCCGCCATACGAAGCATTTGAACACAAAAATTTTGCCTCGCCTCACGATAAAAACTCGCCTTATGTGATTCATCTGGGACGCATCCCACGTGTGGCCTCAGTGCCACTGTTTACAAGCCAGACAATGTGGTCGCATCTACGCATACATTCAGCACATTTCACATTATCCCAGTGTTTTTAGTGCTTGTAACTGCAAAATAAGTCACCATGGACCCCAAGAAAGCTTCTGGTGCCATCCCTGTGGTAAAAAGGGCGAGAATTAGTCTGGAATTGAAAAAAGAGATTAAGGAAAGTGTGCAAAGTGGGTTGAACTGCAAACCTTTATGGATGAAAATCACCCTGACACAGCTACTGCAAGCCGTGTTGGCAACCTGTACAATGACAATGTTATGGCCCATTTTAGGAAAGTCTTAAAGGAACGGGAGGTACAGAGCTCTATGGACAGATTTGTTGTGCGACAGAGGTCCAGTGACTCTCAAGCTGGTCCTAGTAGCATTAAAAGAAGAAGGGAAGTAACCCCAGAAAAGGACTTGCTACCTCAAGTCCTAATGGAAGGGGATTCCCCTTCTAAACAATAACGTCCACACACTCCCCTCCTCCCATCCCATCAATCATCACCAGATCTTCAATAAAGGTAAGTGTCATGCATTCTATTCTTAGTAGAGTAGTAATTGTGCATGTCTTCTTCAGTTTGTGTGTATTAAAATTAATATTTCATATGGTAAAAAAAGTTTTTTTTTTCATACTTTGGGGTGTCAGGAACAGATTAATTTGATTTCCATTATTTCTTATGGGGAAAATTAATTCGGCTAATGATAATTTCGGCTTACGATGAGCTCTCAGGAATGGATTAATATCATAAGGTGGGGGTCCACTGTATTCCCAGGTGTTTTACATGTTCCTTTCATTCTATTTGATGACCCTCTTGAGTTTTGTATATAGTGTGCCTTTTGAGTTCTTCATTCTTTCCATACCTAGGCAGCTGGAACATATCACCATTGAACGGCATGTTGTTCTCCACTGCCCACTGGAAAACCCTGCTTATGTCTTCCTGTAATTTTTCAGTGTCCTCTACCGTAGTGACTTTCATGCTTATTTTAGTGTCATCTGCAAATGATGATACAAAAATGTGATGAGTGTTTTTATCTATGTCTGCTATGAGGATGAGAAACAGCAGAGGTGCAGGACAGTGCCTTGGGGCACTGAGCTTTTTACATAGCTGATGCTAGATCTTGCTCTGTTTACTACTACTTTTTGTGTTCTGTGTGTTAGGAACCCGAAAATCCATCTGCCTACCTTCCCCATAATGCCCATGGCCCTCATTTTGTGTGCTATCATTCCATGATCATATTTGTCAAGTGCCTCTGCAAAATCTGTGTAAATCACATCTGCATTTCGGTCGTCTTCCAATGCCTCCGTAATTCTGTCATAATGGTTCAGCAGCTGTGACAGGCATGATCGTCCTGCTCTAAAACCATGCTGAAGTGGCTCCACTTGTTCCACTATAAAATGCTCTCATCTTGTCTCTGTATTAGGCTGATAAAGCCTGTGGTGGGCAAAATGGCTCTCAACACACCCAGGTGTGTTGTACATGTGCCTTATTCATCAACTTGTCAGTTTATATACCTTTTGATCTAATGACACTTGTTTGATACAACACTAAACCCACAGTTCACTGACATTTGATGCCTAACCTATAGTATCTATGGAGGCTTCAATCCCTTTCTTTCACAAAAAGGTAACTGCCCATAGAAGAACCATTTGAGAATCATAACTCCATTGCAAGGAGAATGGCATCAGTGAGTAAGAGGGAGATGAAAGTTTATAAACTAAAGGAGGTAGTACTCAAGTAAGGTTATCCTTGGAATTACAGTGCTTGCACTCTTGAGGAGGAGTGAGGATATTTGCAGTTTGGGAAGGCATCCGAACTACTGCATCAGTGTGTCTGGCAAGATAGTGATTGAGTGAATGATGGTGAAAGTGTTTCTTCTTTTGGGTCTCATTACCTTGGTGGGAGATGGCCAGTGTGTTAAAAAAAATCCATTGCCACACTGTTTTTAACTGGTTTTACCACTTATCTAATACTTTTTTATTTTATGAAATTTGATGTACAGTGGACCTCAACCAACGGCGGCATTGACTAAACAAAATTGACTAATGGCTCTCTTTGGCATCAAAATATTGGCTCTACCAATGCCGAAAAACTCATCTAAAGGCTTTCGTCCCGAACATGTCCATGCGGCCTGAGCAAGCCCAGCCACTCCAAGACTCCATGTATAGCCAGTGTGCCATTGTTTACATGCCGTTGCAGTCAATTCCATGTGTACCTGCGATATATTTTGTATTATTCCATTGTTTTTAGTGCTTGTAACCACTAAATAAGCCACCACGGGCCCCAAGAAAGCTTCTAGTGCCAACCCTGTGGTAAAAAGGGTGAGAATTACTATGCAATTGAAGAAAGGGATAATAGAAAAGTATGAAAATGGAGTGCGTATCTCCGAGTTGGAAAGGTTATATAACAAACCCCATTCAACCATCACTACTATCTTGGTGAACAGAAAGGCAATCAAGGAAGCTGTTGTTGCAAAAGGTGCAAGTATGTTTTCAAAACGGAGATCGCAAATAATTAACAGGAGATAGTGTTTCTCAGTCAATAATATGTGAAAAGGCAAGGCAGTTGCATGATGATCTCATTAAGAAAATGCCTCCAAATAGTGATGATATTGATGAATTTGAAGCCAGCCAAGGCTGGTTTGAGAGATTTAAGAATCGTAGTGGCATACACAGTGTGATAAGGCATAGTGAGGCTTCCAGTTCAGACAAAATAGCGGCTGAAAAATACGTGCAGGACTTTAAGGAGTACATAGACACTGAAAAATTAAAACCCCAACAAGTGTTTAATTGTGACGAAACAGGTCCTGTTTTGGAAGAAAATGCCAAACAGGACGTACATTACTCAGGAGGAAAAGGCACTCCCAGGACACCAGCCTATGAAAGACAGGCTAACTTTAATCTTGTGTAGTAATGCTAGTGGGGATTGCAAAGTGAAGCCTCTACTCGTGTATCACTCTGAAACTCCCAGAGTGTTCAAGAAAAACAGTGTCATCAAGGCTAATTTGTGTGTGATGTGGAAAGCAAACAGTAAGGCATGGGTCACTAGGGAAATTTTCCTGGACTGGTTTTATGGTGTGTTTGGCCCCACTGTGAAAAGTTACCTCCTGGAAAATAAATTGTCACAAGTGCCTCCTGGTAATAGACAATGCTCCTGCTCATCCTCACGACTTGCAAGAGCAAATTGCAGGGGAGTTGAGCTTCATCAAAGTGAAGTTTTTGCTTCTTAATACAACTCCTCTCCTCCAGCCCATGGACCAGCAGGTCATTTCAAACTTCAAAAAACTCTACACAAAAGCAATGTTTCAAAAGTGCTTTGAAGTGACCTCAGACACTGAACTGACCCTAAGAGAGTTTTGAAAAGATCACTTCAGTATCCTCAGTTGCATAAACCTTATAGGTAAGGCTTGGGAGGGAGTGACTTGCAGGACTTTGAACTCTGCTTGAAAAAAATTGTGGCCACAATGTGTATAAGAGAGGAATTTTGAAGGGTTTGGGGCTAACCCTCAGGAGCCTATGCCAGTTGTGGAATCTATTGTGTCACTGGGGAAGTCCATGGGGTTGGAGGTTTGTGGCGAGGATGTGGAAGAGTTGGTGCAGAATGATGATGAAGAACTAACCACTGCAGAGCTGCAAGAGCTTGAGGTGCAACAGCAACAGATCACAGCTCAGGAACGTGCTTCAGAGCAGGAGGAAGAGAGATGGAGGAAGTTGCCTTCGTCAAGGATTAAAGAAATGTGTACAATGTTTACAAAGGTGCAAGCATTTATGGATGAATTTTATCCTGTCACAGCTGTTGCAAGCCATATTGGCAACATGTACAATGACACTCTCGTGTCCCATTTTAGGGAAATCCTAAGGGGATGTGAGAAACAGAGCTCTTTGGACAGATATTTTGTCTGACAGGGGTCCAGTGACTCTCAAGATGGTCCTAGTGGCATTAAAAAAAACCAAGAAGGGAGGTAACCCCAGCAAAGGACTTGGTACCTGAAGTCTTTATGGAAGGGGATTTCCCTTCCAAACAATAGAACACCTGAATCTCCCCTGCTCCTGGCTCATCACTCATCAACAACTCCACAATAAAGGTAAGTGGCATTTAATTATTGTTTATTTTGCATGTACCATTGGTTTCTGTGTAAGGAAATGTATATTTCATGTAAAAAAAAATATTTTCTTTAATACTTTTGGGTGTCTGAAACGGATTAATTCTATTTCCATTATTTCTTATGGGAAAATTAATTCAACTAATGGCTAATTTGACTAAAGGCTAGCTCTCTGGGATGGATTAAAGGCATTAGTTGAGGGTCAACTGTATATTTAATGTCTTCTTAAACATTCCTTTGTTTTAGTATGTGTCTGAACCCTCACAGTAAGTCTCCAATACTCTGGAGCCTTTAACTACTGCCACACTCCAACTGGAGAGATGTCTGAGAATCAAGGTTAGCTGATTGCATGAAAATTTGTAATGAACATGCTACCAAGATTCTGAGTGTTTCTGTATTATTAGGCATACATATGACAAGCTATTTAGGCCAAAAGGGTCATAACTGCATAGCAAATATTAAGACATAAAAAAGTAATAATATGTTTAAACATCACAATTCAATACTAAATTCTTGGAAGATCTTACTATAAATTGATGGTGCTGGTAACAGATACAGCATCACCATTAGGAGCCAGAAGAGAGAACTGAGCAGTACCATGATCATTATCAACAGCAGTTACAGCACCATAGTGCTCTGGGTCTTGGAACGTGCGATTATCCTTAATCTGACTACGAATACTCTTGGCAAAGGCATCAGAAGTCAAGTTGTGTGTCAACTGAAAGGAAAATAATAAGTGTTGATACTGCTGATCTTAAAATCCTTCTTAAATTAAAGCACCACAGGTTAAGAAGCTATATACTAAACTATTGTACTACACAGCACGAAAGACTAATCCAGAAACTACGAAGCATAGAAATATAAGGCTAGCATTGATGCACTTGAAGGCAGTGTCCCAAGTCCTCTACTATTCCTAGTGTGTATCAGTAACCAAGTGCCTCCCAGTAGCTCAAACCAGTGCTATTTGCAGATGACACTACATATGCCACCTTAAACTCACTATTAACAATATGCAGAAGATGCTTTTATTGAGACTACATTTCACTGAGGATTGAGCTTCATCAAGTCATGATTTGATATAATTCTTCAGAGCCAAATGTTGTCCCAATAAATTTTTGCTATGCATATTCAAAAGAATATCTAGAAAGAAAAATTGGGCATGGAAAATTCAGTGAGGACATTTTGAATGATATAATATAAATATGATTAATTTTCAATTTAGAGGGTTGTACACCAAGCCAAAACAAAATGAGCACCTAAAGAATGCAAATAATAGTTGTATAAGCTATTCAAATGAGACCCTCCAGTAAAAACTTTGCATAACTGAAGCATATAAATTTGCTAAACAAACATGAACAAATTTATAGGCATTTTAAAAAAATGTACTGCTCATAATTAAAAATTTGCCTAATTTGAGAAGGCAGAACCCTGTCATGCAAAATTATAGAGATTTTACTGTACATTAATACAGAATACATTAGTAAATCATATCACCCCAATCTTACTTCAGTCATATCCACAAAATCAGCATCTCCCAGTTCTGTTCTCTTAGCATAAGCCCACTTAAAAGCCTCTGTTATACGTTGGTGGGTCACTATGAAATTTTCTTCATTCATGCTTTCAGGAGTGATGTTGTATTCATCCAAGATATTAAGGATGAAGCCCAATAGAAGGCCAGAGCCTGGTGGTGGCACAGAGTACAGAGTGTAGTTACCATGCTGAATACTGACATTTACCGCATCTTTCCAAAGTGGTCTGTAAAAAAAAAAAAAAGAAAAAAAATACAAAGCAAGTAACAAGGTCATCAAATATCAAGCTACCATAATGCAACACATCAGGTATGGCAGCAAAGTTCTCAATATCAAACTATCATACTGTAATCTCAAATATGTGACAATCTAGATTTCTAACTGTAACTTATTCTTGGCATTAGTTACATTCATATTATAAGAAGAATGCCAACGTAACAAGTGCAAAAAATCATTAATATAAAGTTGTTGTTTTTTCAGCTCAATGGCCAATTTCTGCCAGGCAGGGATGACCCAAACAAGAAAACACATTCACCAACATTCACTCAATTACTATTTTTCCAGAAGTGTGCTGACATCACACTCAGATTACCCTCTGACTGGAACATTCCCACCTTTCCTTCAGACTGCAGATATTCATATCATATTTATCCATTTTGCTTTTATATTTTGGATTCTCTGAAGAAGTAATTTTCTTAATAAAAAATCAAAGCAAATCCATCACCCAATTTTGTGCTAATGTTCACAGGCTTTTATATTTACAAGAACATTAATAATAAGGTAGATGGGATACAAGGAAAATGGAAGCACCAAGTAAGAGAGGGGTGAAGGCTTATACACTAAAGGAGGAGGCAGTTAGGGTAAGATATAAACAACTGTTGGAGGAGAGATGGGCTAGTGTGAGTATAGGCAATAGGGGAGAAGATATATGGGGTATGTTAAGAGTGTTCAGCAAAAGTTTGTGGTTACAGGAAGTGGGTCTGGGAAGGAAGAAGAGTGACTGGTGGAATGATGATGTAGAGAGAGTAGTAAGAGAGAAAAAGTTAGCATATGAGAGGTTTTTATAAAGTAGAAATGATGCAGGGAGGGAGGAGTATATGGAGAGAAAAAGAGAGGTTAAGAGAGTGCTGAAGCAATGTAAAAAGAGAGCAAATGAGAGAGTGGGTGAGATGTTATCAACAAATTTTACTGAAAATAAGAAAAAGTTTTGGAGTGAGATTAATAAGTTGAGAAAGCCTAGAGAACGAATGGATTTGTTAGTTACAAAATAGGAGAGGAGAGTTATTAAATGGAGAGTTAGAGGTATCAGGAAGATGGAGAGAATATTTTGAGGAATTGTTAAATGTTGATGAAGATAGGGAATGTGTGATTTTGTGTATAGGGCAAAGAGGAATAACATCTTATAGGAGTGAGGAAGAGCCAGCTGTAACTGTGGGGAAAGTGCATGGGGCAGTGGGTAGAATGAAAGGAGGTAAAGCAGCTGGGATTGATGGGATAAAAACAGAAATGTTAAAAGCAGGTGAGGATATAGTTTTGGAGTAGTTAGTGATTTTATTTAACAAATGTATGGAAGAGGGTAAGGTACCTAGGAATTGGCAGAGAACATGCATAGTTTCTTTATATAAGGGCAAAGGGGACAAGAGTGTAAAAATTATAGGGGAATAAGTCTGTTGAGTGGGAAGTACTACCATCCTGCCAAGCGAGTGTAAAACAAAAGCCTGTAATTGTTTTACACGATGGTAGGATTGCTGGTATCTTTTTTCTGTCTCATAAACATGCAAGATTTCAGGTACAACTTGCTACTTCTACTTACACTTAGGTCACACTAAACATGCATGTACAAGCATATATATACACACCCCTCTGGGTTTTCTTCTATTTTCTTATTAGTCCTTGTTTTTGTTTATTTCCGATTATCTCCGCGGGGAAGTGGAACAGATTCTTCCTCCATAAGCCATGCGTGTCATAAGAGGCAACTAAAATGCCAGGAGCAAGGGGCTAATAACCCCTTCTCCTTTATACATTACTAAATTTAACCCTTTGACTGTTTTGGTCGTATATATACATCTTACGAGCCAGTGTTTCGGATGTATTAATACGCATAAATTCTAGCGCCTTCAAATCAAGCAGGAGAAAGTTGGTAGGCCCACATGTGAGAGAATGGGTCTGTGTGGTCAGTGTGCAGCACATAAAAAATTCCTGCAGCACGCAGTGCATAATGAGAAAAAAAAAAGAATTTTTTTTGGATTAAAACACCGACTTTAAGGTGTATTTTTGTATAGCATTTATCGTTGTATTCTCGTTTTCATGGTCTCACATGATAAAATGGAAAACATATTACAGAAACAGAGATGATTTTGATTAGTTTTACGATGAAAACGACCTGGAAATTGAGCTCTAAATAGAGGAAATGTTCGATTTTTACCAATGTTTAGGAGTAAGCAAATCACACCACACGTCCAATACACATCAACTGGGGAGTCTAATATTCTTTCACTAGTGCACTGACATTATTTATGCCATTTTTACAATAATGTAGTAGTCTGCATAACAGTAAATTTTGTATTTTTTGTATGAATAAAAAATCAAAATAGAGAGCAATAGTAATATAAGAGGGGCCTAGAGACGTGACTAATGAACAGAGGATATGTTATTTTAGTGTCAAGAATGTCTACACTGTTTATTCTGGACCCTATTTTGAAACTGGAATCTTTTTAAATTTGCATAAAATTGGCCAAATTGCCAATTTCTGACCACTTTATTGGGTAGTTCAAATTGGTAAATGGGCAGTTTCTTGTACTCAACTGATAGATAAAATGGAGTTCTAAAGAAACAGCTATGAATTTGGTCAACTGGAACAACAGAATTGGCCAAAAACAGGGCTCAAAGTTTGCAAAATTGCCGATGCATATATGTCGCCGAGACCGCTAACTTCGCGGGAGCGTAATTCCGTGAGTTTTCGACCAAATTTCGTACTTTTGGTGTCATTACCATCGGAAAAAGATTCTCTATCATTTCATAAGAAAAACTAATTTTTTTTTTCCAAAAATTTTGCGACAGAATGAGTTTCAGAAAGGGGCTTGTGACAGTCAGGTTAAAAAGACAAAACTTTTGTTTTTGTTTTTAGGTCATCCTGCCTCAGTGGGATATGGTTGGTTTGTAATAAGGTATTTTTAAAAAACTACCACAGCTATTTAACTTGTATATACTATTACAAATCAAGTGTAATCATCCCTCTAGAATGCCATGTACTTCCAGCTGAGTGCACTTGTCCTTTTATAGCACTGTACATTACAAGTTGAGTGCACTCTTTCCAGAACATCTTAATTCAATATAAAACCAGTTTCATCACATCATGAAAGGAATAGATTACATAAGGAGTACCCGAGATTGAATTCACAATATAGTTATAGCAATATAGCAGTGGTAAAACAGTATAACAGTAGTAATGTAACAGTAGTACTATAGCAATATGGACAGGCCCCCAGCACTCCTTATATAAATATTCATACACAATCCTATTACATATTCCATTAACTAAATTGTCAATGAACTATTTCAGTTGATAGCAAGTGGCATCACTGTATTACTAACCTGTAGTTTTGCAGATCTTCAATAGTGATAATGCCATCAAAGCTTTGGATATCTTGGATTAGTTTATCAGCCAACTGGCCAGTATAAAGAGCATCAGGATCACTCTGAATTTCTCGTAAGGTCTTTGCTAACTGTGGTCTTGTCAGTGTGTCACCCTCCTCATAAACAGTGCCAGTATCGGGGTTGATAAATACACTGGTGATACAAAACAAAGTAAGGTATTATAATTTAGAAAGGATAAAACAAATCTGATTTCTGATCTGAAGATCATTTTTTTTTTAATATGTCAGCCATTTCCCACCAAGGCAGGGTGACCCAAAAAGAAAGAAAAAAACTTTCATCATCATTCAACACTTTCACCATCACTCATACATAATCACTGTCTTTGCAGAGGCACTCAGATACGACAGCTTAGACATCCCTCCAAACTGCCAATATCCCAAACTCCTCCTTTAAAGTGCAGGCATTGTACTTCCTATTTACAGGACTCAAGTCTGGCTAACCGATTTCCCTGAATTCCTTCACAAAATATTACCCTCGTCAGGTCCCAACTTATCGTAATATATTCTGGCTATATGTCTAGTCACCCTGCCTCGGTGTCTAGTGGATGAAATATCAAAATTTTTTAGGTTTTTCAAAATATATTTTTCATAAATTTTCTTTTAACAAACCAAATAACACACCAGTAATATACTAAGTTTAAAACTAGCTCACAATAAAAACTGCAAGACAAAATAATCTTAGAGATCAGTAAAAAGAAAAATCTAAGAAGGCTTAGGGAGTAGGTATGTGTCCCTCATATATTTGCATGGTATGTTGATGATTTAGCTAGTCAAACATTAAAAAGCCAAGCATTATGGATAAAAGGAGAGGTACATGCAGTAACTGAGAATACAGATAACTCTTTGACTTACATGTAGAAGTTGATGCTAATTACTTCAGAGGAAAGCTTTCATCAAATAAGAGTAAGAATAAGTGTACTCATCTAATTGTACTTGCCTAACTGTGGTTGCAGGGGTCGAGTCACAGCTCCTGGCCTCTTCGCTGGTCACTGCTAGGTCCACTCTCTCCCTGCTCCATGAACTTTTTCATACCTCTTCTTAAAGCTATGTATGGATCCTGCCTCCACTATATTACTCTCCAAACTATTCCACTTTGTGACAACTCTGTGGCTGAAGAAATACTTCCTAACATTTCTGTGACTCATCTGAGTCTTCAACTTCCAACTCTGACCCCTTGTTGCTGTGTTCCATTTCTGGAACATCCTGTCTCTGTCCACCTTGTCAATTCCTCACAGTATTTTATATGTTGTTATCATGTCCCCCCCTCTCTCCTGTCCTCCAGTGTCGTCAGGTTGATTTCCTTTAACCTCTCCTCGTAGGACATGCCCCTTAGCTCTGGGACTAGTCGCGTTGCAAACCTCAGCACTTTCTCTAATTTCTTGACATGCTTGACTAGGTGTGGGTTCCAGACTGGTGCTGCATACTCAAGTATGGGCCTGACATACACTGTGTACAGAGTCCTGAATGATTCCTTACTGAGAAGCAGGAACACTATTTGTAGGTTTGCTAATCATCCAAATGTTGCAGCAGTTATTTGGTTGATGTGTGCTTCTGGAGATGTGCTTGGTATAATACTCACCCCAGAATCCTTTTCCTCAAGTGAGGTTTGCAGTCTTTGGTCCCCTAAACTGTACTCTGTCTGCGGTCTTCTTTGCCCTTCCCCGATCTTCATGACTTTGCACTTGGTGAAGTTAAACTCTAGGAGCCAGTTGCTGGGCCAGGCTTGCAGCCTGTCCAGATCCCTTTGTGGTCCTGCCTGGTCCTCATCCAACTGAATTTTCCTCATTAGCTTCACATCGTCTGCAAACAGGGGCACTTCTGAGTCTATCCCTTCCATCATGTCATTCACATATACCAGAAACAGTACTGGTCCCAGGACTGACCCCTGGGAAATCCGACTGGTCACAGGCACCCACTAACACCTTGTCATGTACCATGACTTGATGTTGCCTCTCTGTCAGGTATTCTCCGATCCACTGCAGTGCCTTCCCTGCTATACCTGCCTGAAAAAATCATACCACAGGCAGGCATAGAACCTGCGATCAGAGAGTCATGACTCTCTAATCGTGGGTTCTATCTCTGCCTGTGGTATGCTTTGTTTGCAATCGTGTCATTACAATTTCATGAGTCATACCTGCCTGGTTCTACTGCATTTGCACTAATCTCTTGTGTGGAACTGTGTAAAAAGCCTTCTTACAGTCTAATACAGTACAGTGTGTGCATATGTGTGTGTGTGCCTGCATGCATGTGTATGTATATATAAACCCATGTGAGCAAGTAAAGTGTGAGTTCGTGCATGCGTGTGCTGAAAGATTTTTAAAATGTCACTTTTTATTTTTATTTTCACATTAATCTCAGCCCAGTTATATTCATAATAAAATATTGTTCATCGCTGTATAAATTTAAACTGCCTCAAAAAGGCACATTATTAATTCTTGAAATACAACTGTGACCTTTCTAAATCCACCAGCACACTGATCCACATACAATGATACAACCAGTCATAAAGTACTTTACTAAATAAGACTAGTTTCCCAAGAGAAGTTCCCACACACCTCATGCTTGGTTCATTCATAATAAGAAGTTCGTTAAGCTTCAGTGCTCGTGCCATGTGCCAGTTGACTATATGACCATCTTCACACAGCTTAATTGTAGGTTCTATCAGTTCAGCCCAGGGAATTTTTCCACCAAATCTCTCGTACAACTGACGGTAGCCACGCAATTCTCCAGGCACAGCCACAGCTAAACCACCTGCAGTGAGAAGATACATATTACAATACATCCTATGCATTTAACTTCATGTATATTATTATTATTATTATTACAGTATTATTATTATAATAGTTATTGGTAAAGTGCTAAATCCATAAAGGCCATACAGTTCCTGTGGAAATGAAGGCAGTCAGGTTTGATCCATGGAAAGAATGGACAGTTCCAGGTCCTTGAACCAGGAACCCCTCACTGGTATTTATGAACCTCCCTTGATGGGGAACATCATGAGCTTTTATTTTAATTAATGTATTGTACAAAGTGCTAAATCTTTTTTTTTATTTTTTATTTTAATCAGAGGGGTCATATAGTGCCTGGGAAATGGAAGGCATTTAGGTCAAGTTCCTTAGATCACGAGCCCCTCAACAGCAGCAAGAAAACTCCAGTGATGGGAACTTATTAGAATACTGTAGCTACACAAATTGAGGTTGAAGGCATGAAGAAACCAGAACACCAGAATACCATATGGTGGTATAACTCAAAAAGCAGAGGATGGAGTGCTGAGATGGTTTGGTCATTTAGAAAGGATGGATCAGAATAGGCTGGCCATAAGGATGTATAACTACTGAGTGGATAAAAAAGGATGTGTAGAGGATGTCCCAGGAAAAGTTAGAGGGGAAGTGTTAAACCCATAGAAGTTATACAGTGCCTGGGGGAAATAAGAAGCAATCGGGGTGAACCCAAGGAAGGGAAGAACAAGTCCAATTCCTTTTATCAAAAGCAAGGACCTCCCTTAGGAAAAGGGAGGATGTGAAGATTTTGAGTAGGTGGTGTTTGAACATCTAGTAAGCATGTGTGAGTGCCGGATCAGAGTGAAGATTTTTTTTATTTGGTACACTGCTAGAAGATGAGCAAGTTAATGCTTATGAATAGATTCAAGGAAAATAGTTTACAGACTTGAATTCTGAAAGTGGGAATTACAGTGCCTGCACTTTGAAGGATGGGTGGGGATGCAGCAATTCACAAGGTCATTTGAATTGCGATGGCTAAATCAAAGTACTCAAAATACTTCTGGTACGACAGCTATGAAGTAAGTGATGTTTAGTGTGTCTCTTTCTTTAGAATATCTTACCCTCAGTGTGCCCATAACTTTCTTTCCTGACCATCATATAGAGACAACATAGTATAAATAAATTATCTTTATAGCTAAAAAATTCAATTCTTTATTATTTTCACATACTGTAAACATACTGTACTTTCGATAACTTCCCTGATTCCTTAAGAAACTACTTAGAAAAAAAAATGAAGAATAAACTTTCATAACTATGGATAATATACAACACAACAAACTGAACTATTAAGTTAAATAAAGATAATCCAGAGGGCTAAGGAGGGGTTGTTGAGGTGGTTTGGTCATACAAAGATGGAGCAAAACAGGATGACTTAAAGGATGTATAAATCTCTAGTGGAGGGAAGGTGGGGTAGGGATCACCCTAGGAATTGTTGGCATGAGGAGTTAAAAGGTTTCATATGCAAGGGGCTTGGACATCCAGCAGGCATGCATGAGTGTGTTAGGAGTGAGTGGAGGAAAGTGAATTTTGACTTGACATTCTATGCATGTACAAGCATATATATACACACACACCCCTCTGGGTTTTCTATTTGCTTATTAGTTCTTGCTCTCGTTTATTTCCACTTATCTCCATGGGGAAGTGGAACAGAATTCTTCCTCCGTAAGCCATGTGTGTCGTAAGAGGCGACTAAAATGCAGGGAGCAAGGGGCTAGTAACCCCTTCTCTGTATACTGTATACTACTAAATTTAAAAAGATAATTTTTTCTTTTTCTTTTTGGGCCACCCTGCCTTGGCGGGATATGGCCGGTTTGTTGAATGAAAAGAAGACTTGATGTGCTGTTGGAATGTGAACAAGGTAACATTTATTGAGGGATTCAGAGAAGCTGGTTAGCCAGACTCAAGTCCTGGAGATGGGAAGAACAGTGTCTGCACTCTGAAGGAACGCTGGGGATATTTGCAGTTTCAAGGGGCATCTGAACTGCAGTATCAGCACACCTCTGACAAGACAGTGATGGAGTGAGTGATGGTGAAAGTGTTTCTTCCTTTTTGGGTCATCCTACCTTGGTGGGAGACAGCTGGTGTGTTAAAAAAAATCAAGACTTCAGTTTTGAATGCATTAATAGTACACTATTGTATGGAATGCATGCACTGGTGAATGCTCAATACCCACTCATTCCACACATAGGCACCTAAATAATTTACCCCCCCCACACACACACACACATATATATATATATATATATATAAATATATATATTTTAAATAATAATATATATATATATATATATATATATATATATATATATATATATATTTTTCAACAAGTCGGCCGTCTCCCACCGAGGCAGGGTGACCCAAAAAAGAAAGAAAATCCCCAAAAAGAAAATGCTTTCATCATTCAACACTTTCACCACACTCACACATTATCACTGTTTTTGCAGAGGTGCTCAGAATACAACAGTTTAGAAGCACATACGTATAAAGATACACAACATATCCCTCCAAACTGCCAATATCCCAAACCCCTCCTTTAATGTGCAGGCATTGTACTTCCCATTTCCAGGACTCAAGTCTGACTATATGAAAATAACCGGTTTCCCTGAATCCCTTCACTAAATATTACCCTGCTCACACTTCAACAGATCGTCAGGTCCCAAGTACCATTCGTCTCCATTCACTCCTAACACGCTCACGCACGCTTGCTGGAAGTCCAAGCCCCTTGCCCACAAAACCTCCTTTACCCCTCTCTCCAACCCTTTCGAGGACGACCCCTACCTCGCCTTCCTTCCCATATAGATTTATATGCTTTCCATGTCATTCTACTTTGATCCATTCTCTCTAAATGATCAAACCACCTCAACAACCCCTCTTCTGCCCTCTGACTAATACTTTTATTAACTCTACGCCTTTTCCTAATTTCCACACTCCGAATTTTCTGCATAATATTTACACCACACATTGCCCTTAGACAGGACATCTCCACTGCCTCCAACCGTCTCGTCGCTGCTGCATTTACCACCCAAGCTTCAAACCAATATAAGAGTGTTGGTACTACTATACTTTCATACATTCCCTTCTTTGCCTCCATAGATAACGTTTTTTGACTCCACATATACCTCAATGCACCACTCACCTTTTTTCCCTCATCAATTCTATGATTAACCTCATCCTTCATAAATCCATCCACCGACACGTCAACTCCCAAGTATCTGAAAACATTCACTTCTTCCATACTCCTCCTCCCCAATTTGATATCCAATTTTTCTTTATCTAAATCATTTGATACCCTCATCACCTTACTCTTTTCTATGTTCACTTTCAACTTTCTACCTTTACACACATTCCCAAACTCATCCACTAACCTTTGCAATTTTTCTTTAGAATCTCCCATAAGCACAGTATCATCAGCAAAAAGTAACTGTGTTAATTCCCATTTTGAATTTGATTCCCCATAATTTAATCCCACCCCTCTCCCGAACACCCTAGCATTTACTTCTTTTACAACCCCATCTATAAATATATTAAACAACCATGGTGACATTACACATCCTGTCTAAGACCTACTTTTACCGGGAAGTAGTCTCCCTCTCTTCTACACACCCTAACCTGAGCCTCACTATCCTCATAAAAACTCTTTACAGCATTTAGTAACTTACCACCTATTCCATATGCTTGCAACATCTGCCACATTGCTCCCCTATCCACTCTATCATATGCCTTTTCTAAATCCATAAATGCAATAAAAACTTCCCTACCTTAATCTAAATACTGTTCACATATATGCTTCAATGTAAACACTTGATCTACACATCCCCTACACACTCTGAAACCTCCTTGCTCATCCGCAATCCTACATTCTGTCTTACCTCTAATTCTTTCAATTATAACCCTACCATACACTTTTCCTGGTATACTCAATAAACTTATTCCTCTATAATTTTTACAATCTCTTTTGTCCCCTTTCCCTTTATATAAAGGGACTATACATGCTCTCTGCCAATCCCTAGGTACCTACCCCTCTTTCATACATTTATTAAACAAAAGTACCAACCACTCCAACACTATATCCCCCCTACTTTTAACATTTCTGTCATGATCCCATCAGTTCCAGCTGCTTTACCCCCTTTCATTCTACGTAATGCCTCGCGTACCTCCCCCACACTTACATTCTGCTCTTCTTCACTCCTAAAAGATGGTATATCTCCCTGACCAGTGCATGAAATTACCGCCTCCCTTTCTTCCTCAACATTTAAAAGTTCCTCAAAATATTCTCGTCATCTACCTAATACCTCCCTCTCCCCATCTACTAACTCCCCTACTCTGTTTTTAACTGACAAATCCATAATTTCCCTAGGCTTTCTTAACTTGTTTAACTCCCTCCAAAATTTTTTCTTATTTTCATTAAAATTTCTTGACAGTGCCTCTCCCACTCTATCATCTGCTCTCCTTTTGCACTCTCTCACCACTCTCTTCACCTTTCTTTTACTCTCCATATACTCTGCTCTTCTTATAACACTTCTGCTTTGTAAAAACCTCTCATAAGCTAACTTTTTCTCTTTTATCAAACCCTTTACTTCATCATTCCACCAATCACCGCTCTTTACACCTGCCCCCACCCTCTTATAACCACAAACTTCTGCCCCACATTCTAATACTGCATTTTTAAAACTATTCCAACCCTCTTCAACCCCCCCACTACTCATCTTTGCACTAGCCCACCTTTCTGCCAACAGTCGCTTATATCTCCCCCGAACTTCCTCCTCTCTTAGTATATACACTTTCACCTCCCTTTTACTTGTTGTTGCCATTTTCCTATTGTCCCATCTACCTCTTACTCTAACTGTAGCTACAACTAGATAATGATCCGATATATCAGTTGCCCCTCTATAAACATACACATCCTGGAGCCTACCCATCAACCTTTTATCCACCAATACATAATCTAACAAACTACTTTCATTACGTGCT